GGGGCGGCAGGGAGAGGCGCGGGCGCTGAGGCAGACGCGCTGCAGCGCGAGGCTCGAGCTGGATCGTTTGCTAATTTAAGCTAAATAAGTGCAGCTTGTCCCCCGCTGTTCTCTTAGATTCGAAGTGGGGAGTCTTGCCTGCACTAGGAAATACTGACGAGGGAAAAACAAACCAGTCTTGGTGTAATCTTGGCACAACCTTGGCGGCCGGCGGGAGCAGAGGGCGGCCTGGCCGAGCGGCCGGCCCCACGCTCAGCCCCCCTTGCTCTCCCTCCGGCTCCCTCGGCCGTATCGCCGCCAAGCACCTTGTCCCCGGGACAGCACGTGCTGGTGGTTACTAAAAGCAGATCAGAATCACGGCCCCTCCACGCTCCAGGTGCTGCCAAGGGATGTGGGTGATCCCCGATGAAGCCAAACACGTCCTCGTTTTCCTGCCGTGCTGTGGGGATGCGAGGTGAGACGCTCACCCCATGCACTATGGCACACGCTTTGTGGCCCGCTCTACTCCGGGGGTTCTCTGCCCTTGAAACAAGGGCTTTGAACGTAAAAACAAGCAAAACCTGACAAAAACAGGGAACAAGCAGCTTCTGCTAGCATCTAATTTAGTTTGCTTCTAAATATTTTTGTCTCCTGCTGCTATGGAGGGAAGCGCCTGCCGCACCCCAGCCCTGCGATACTCCATTTCTACAATACTCAAAGCTCTGCAGGCCAAAAACTGCTGTGTGAAAGTGTAACATCCCGCCAAGAGCATCGTTTGTGCATTTTTTTGCCAGTGTTTTCCTAATGGAGGCAGGACTCCTTGCTTCCAATATAAGAAAGCAGTGGGGGAAGGCAGCACTTACTTAGCTTAATTTAGCAAATGATCCAGTATGAACCTCCTTCTGGCTTGCTGTTTTCCAGTGCTCCTTGGAAATGCTGCTTCAAAGTGAAAGAAGTGGAGTTCAAGTAGCTTTTTGGTGTCCTGATATTTTCCTCTTAAATACCCAAGAGCAGATGGTGATGAAAGTCAGGGTGCGCTCAGCCTCATTTATCTCCAAAACGTTTTGAACACAAGAAAACGCATGAATGGGCAAAAAACACGCAGTGAACTTGCACTCGAAGTACGGGGAAGTCCCATTTCCAGAGCCCAACACGGGTTCCAAGCCACGACGGCCGTTATTAATATTTTTTTAACTCACTTGCACTACATTTTCCTGAGATATGATTTAATTTACCTCTGCTGATATTGGTCAGCTTGACAATTTTGTATCCTTCAGCTTGAATAAAGAAAACTATTTAAATCTGTTTCAAATGAGAGTTCTCTGAGAACCAACATTTGGGTGGCAATCACTCAGAGTAATGGTCATTTATTTAAAAGCAACTGTTTCCACTGTAGCCAAAAAAAATATGAAAACAAATCTCCTTGTCAAGGATTGCATAAACATTTTACAAAATGTACATTTTGGGACAAATTTGAGTCCAGCTGTGTGCCTTTTATCTTTACATTTTTAGATCGTTCTCCGCCTCTGCCCCTGCCATACGGCCACGGTTAGCTGGAAGCCAGAATTTCTTCTGCAAACGCCCGAGCACTAAGAACACAAACTTGTTTAAGCTGAGACCATATTTGGAAGAGATCTGGGTCAAGAAAAATAATCAAAAGGAAAGTGCATTCCTGGGACATCACGTGGCGCGATGGGAATGCGCACACGCGTCCCTGTCCTCGGGATGGGACGCAGCAAGCGCCTGCACCCAGCGGGCACGGAGCACCCGGGCTGGAAGAGCCAGGGCTACACTGACCTTCACACGCGGTTTAGCGCAGGCCTCGGAAAAGGGCATAGGGGTAAATTGAAAAAGAGCATTTGTGTAAATTAAAAAAGGGCATTCTGAATAGCAGTGTGCCATTGATACATGTTTCCGTGGCAAAAAACAAGAACTTTGGAAACCTACACAGGCCCCATTCTTGCAGCTGGGCATACCTGTCTCTCTAACCGTGTCAGTAATGTTAGGGAAGTAACGGGGCAAGCGAGGAAAGGAAGATTCCTGCCCAGCGCAGGGAAGCTGCTGAACAGCTCGAGCTGCCCCCGGCCGCCCGGGTGTTCCCCGCTGCAAAGGGCCGTTCTGCCACGGGAGCCGTGTACCGGTATCAGCACCAGACTCATGTGAAACGGACACAACAGCGAGCTCGTGATCCAGCAGCGACTGCCTCTTCCACTGATCTACCCCAAACACGCGTTTACTCAAGCACAAACTGGTCTAGAAAGCAGAGCTCATTCTCCTTGGGCAGGTAATGGAACGAGCCCTGCTTAGCAGCCTCCTTAAAACCACCACCAACCCCAAACCCGCCGACCAACCCACCCAGCGCAACAGCTGGTGCCAGGCAGAGGCCCAGGGAAACAGCCCCTCCACAGTGTTCATAAAGATCTTATTTATATTCATTAACACAGTTGGAAGGAACCAAATATAACACTTGTCATTAGTTAATTGCATCTTCTCCCTTTTTTCCTCATGTTTCTACTCTTTTTCTTTTTTTCTCTTCATGTTTGTTAACCTGAGTTTCTTTTCTCCTGGCACAGATGTATTTGGCTCCTGTTTTACTGTACCCGAACACCTGCACTGCACCTTTTCTGTGCAGCAGCCGCTTCTGAACTGAGCCTGAAGCACCTGACTGCACATCTAGAGAACAACAAGCCCTGTGACAGGTACCGTACACAGTTACAGGCTATCTGTTACAGGAAAAAAAATGCACAAGCAATGTAAGAAGTACCAAAAAGGAGTTATGCAGAAAGACAGTTTCTGAAAAATATACATTGAAAGTATTTTTATTTTTTGCTGGAATTTAAAAAACATAGGAATATTGACATTGCATTTAAAAACCCCAGGAAGTTGAAGATTATACATCGTTAATTCTCTGAAATCCAACAGTGCCAAAGCTGGACATCACAAAAATGTCTCCATCATGCCTCTCTTCTTTTTAAGGAATTACCTAGATATATATATATATATGAACATTTTGAAACAAGATTTTTGAAGAAATGTCAGACTGTCCAAGCTTGAAAGTACTCTTCACTAAACACATCCAAATCTCTCCTTATTCTGGGGGGACACTGCCAAAATTCAACCAAACAAGTTTTAGGAAACACATCAGAACCCACTTCTAATAGAAAGAAACCCAGTGTATTTAAAGGGAACCATAGGTTTTTATTTTGAATTTTTTTTTGAATTTTAAGATACATTATTGTGTGTGCTTATCATTTTGCTCAATGACTTATTTGCATTAACATTGGCAAGCATTATATTAAGGGTTTTTCTTATCCTAAATGTAACCCATTCATTTGTTAGGATCATTACTTTCCCTTCCTGCACTGAGAATAAGGTACACTGACATTGGAACAAGACAGTTGTAGGCAAACTGAAACAATCAGCATTTTAGGAAGAGAAGTTGTGAATTTGTACAGCTATGAAGCAATTCATACGATCTGTCTTCACGAGGTAAAGCAGTATATACACAGCTATTTTAAAATGACACATTTCTTCCCAACGTGTCAGGTAAGAAAACCCTTCTACAAGTCCTTTTTGAAGGTCATCACCTTGAAAGACTCAGAGCTGCTTGAATGAGACGATTCAAACTGCTACTGCTTCAGCCCCAGATAAGCACAGACACAGGGAAGTTAAATATCTAGAATAAGAAGCGTTTATCACTAATAGAAACGGTTTCATGGGGGTGAAACCTCAAAAAAGGTCTTGCCTGTCCCGGTACTATGGTAGCTTATTGACTGCAATGCTAGTCAATATACACGGAACTGACTCATAAATACTATTACTCAAGTTTGCCTAAAGCCATCTCCTAACAGTAATAAAGACAATCCTGGGTAAAATCACATTAAATGTATATATAAGAACACTATAAAAATTGACAAAGTCATATTTCATTACAAAAGAGGTTTCTCTTTTTTTTTTCTGAGTATTTCTTTTTAAACTAAACAAGCTTTCAATCTTATGCCAGAGTGAGAAAAAAAATCAACTCCTAAAATTCTGATGTTTAGAAAAAAAAGAAAACTATTTTCACTATTTTCATACTACAAAACATTTCACTTTACAAAAAATCCAAAGATTTATTCTGTTACCATGATGATAAAGATAAAATGGGAAATGAAAGGGATGAAAAGATCTCAAAACTAGATCTCAAGTATTTTGGGGCAAAATTCTCTACTCTGATCTTTGCGAGACTCTCTGACGTAACAACATGTTTGGACCAGAAATGAATATATGTGGAACCAGCCAGAGAGATGCTATGGATCAGAAGAAAGTCCTGCCTTTATTTTGGTGTTTTATCATTATTCCAGTATAAACTGATATGATGTAAATCATCCCCACAATAAGAAACAGGTACATTCTAACAATTTCCAACACAAGTCCCAACATTGTTTAATTTACTCAACAGTATAGTCTGTCAGGAAAATTAAAATCTGTTTTATTTGATATTCTTCATGGTGAAAAGTATTAAACTACACTTTTAAATTAAATCATGCTCTGCCCAAACTGGTTTGCTTTAAGACTTCTAACCTTAGCGGAGAGAATTAAGATGTCTCAGCAAGTATCAATTTTGTGTTAAAAAAATGTCCGCAAGACAAAATAAAAAAATTCTTAATTTACAGTAAGCAGTGTAAACAGCAAAAACAACAGAAGCCACAAAGTTTTACACACCAGCTGCTGGCAGACAGATTGCTCCAAATACTTATAGAACTTTGTATCTTCCTTTGTTGGTTGGTTGGTATGAATTTTGCTGCAAATAAAGAAGAGAATCACAGTTAAAATTGCAATAGGAAAGTGAGTTGCAATAAAATTCCCCGGCAATAAATGCACAACACAAATTATTAGGCAGTTCTATAGCAATCTCCTTCCTCTAGAAGTCAAAAGAAACATTTATGGGGAAGACAACAATTCTGAAAAAGGAGCAGAAGAGTAAAGGCTCAGGGGGACCAGGTGAACTGCTGAGCTGAAAGGCTACTTGAAGAGAAGGACAAAGCAGACACCACGGCGCTGAATACAGTTTTACCGAGGGTCACTCCAGAGAAAGTCAAGGTTTCTCTAACCAGAAAACCCAAAACACAGTTTCTCAAGACCATATCTTATTTGGAAATAGAGTATATTGGACACAGCTAATTATTAGTGGGCTATGCTGCAGAGTTAAGGCAGGCAGCTCTCCCATCACCCTTTCTGTCTGATAAAGATGATATTGGGAAAAACAACGAGGGACTGACCCGTTTAAAGGGTTTTGGGACAGAAATCTCTGTTGATGTCCTATCTCCATCTGCTGGTTGGATAATAGCCATATGCCCAGCTAGCTGACCAGAATAACGCGCTTTCGGGGCTGTTCAATGAAACTGTTTTTTAGATCTACAGTTTCAGGAGCCTGATAAAAACTTAATAGCACTGCTAAAGTGTAAACATTTACAGGAATCAGTCTCATAAAGCATTAAGAGAAACACATTCCTCTGCATTCTCAAGATCTTACTCACCAATCTGATAAGTTCCTCTTTTATAAGTCGTGTGATTTCTGCCTTTGCTTTCTGTACAGCCAGTTCATTGGCACCTGAAGACACAAAATAACAGTGTTAGGCTCTTTCTGCATGAGAAATCTATGGAATAAACATTGCTGGCTATTAACTTTTCTGGCTATTTTCAGAAAACCTGTAAAACTTTACAGATACCCTCAGCTATTTGCTAATGAACACCAGTATTGCGTAGATTGCCACAGCTAGGTTGGATTTTGTTTTAAGAAAGACACTTAAAACTGACATTCATAATTTACTATCCAGGAATAGTTAAGATTAGAGGTTTCTTTAAGAAACGCTCCCAACCACAATGGAGAATTCCACAAACATCACAAGATATGCAAAGTGGCTATAGGTACCTGATGTAATCTCTTGTGCTCTTAGCTTCTTAAAGACAAAAAAAGGACAAAATAAATATTTTTTCCCCTAATTTCACAGCAGCACAGGCAACATCTTTGTTCTTTTTTTTTTTTTTTTTGACACCACAATCTCTCCCAAATTGCTTCCATACATGTTTGCTATTCTTCTGTGGCTGGTCAGTGTTTTCAGGAACAGCATCTCAACAGTCCCTTTCATAAAGTGTACTAAGATAACTGAGTGTTTCTGTAGTTATTATATTATTTGGTCAGTCTGCAACTGAACATCTAAGGATGACTTTATGCCTAGAATTATACCCTTAACTGAAACATTTATAAAGAATACTTACTTATGACTTGAAAGACTTTATGCCTAGTTATAAAACTAGAATTATACCCTTACTGAAACATTTATAAAGAATACTTACTCTCAATAGCCAAATAAATCTTCCGTTCTCCTTCCTTGGGTTCCTTGCCTGGAGGGAAGTAAGTTCCTCTGATTGTAATAGCAGCTTCAGAATATTCACTGATTCTCTGCAGAGCTTCTTTGGATGTAACTTTCCATCTGGCAGTCTGCAAGGTGAAGGATGCGGCAGAGTGAACAGGGAGAACAGCACCACACACAACGGGAATTCAAGGGGTACTCAACATCATAGATTAACAACAACAATACCCCACTGGAAAACACAGCCATGTCATTCTGTTTTTAACCTAACTGATTAAATCTCAATCCACGTTTTAAAGAGAAGGTATTAAAAAGAATTTATGTCCACAAGAAAAAGTCAAGGAAGAGGGAGAAAAGAAAGTGGGTATATAGCACCACCAAAGCAAAAGTTCTCCTTCCATTTTGCTACACTGGAAGTTTAAAAGCTGTACTTTTTTCCTTATGATTCTCGAAGCAGTACTTAATGGTATTTTATTCAGCATTCTTTGCACAGGAATAGACCTCAAGGGAAAATATGTGCTGTTAATGGGTGCAAGTAGCTGCATTTAACAAAAATAAATTCTGCTTAATTCTACACAGTTCATTGGTTGAAGACAAAAATAAGTGACCATTAAAATTGTTTTCATAAATAAAGACTAAGAAATAAATATTGCCAGTTGCTTTTCAAACACTGGAAAATTGTCACAAATCTCAATAATATCCTCAAAAATACTTCAGTATCATAAAAGTATCCCATTCATTTAGACAATGAAATTATTACAAAACACTATTAGTTTATTAGAAGTTATTTCTAGCCTGAGCTGATTTTTTTGTCCTTTGTAACTCCTGGGGTGCTCCTGCATACAAAGGTGAAGAATGGAGCACAGGACTGGGATAGCTCACGGTGTCTCTGTGTGAAGGCAGTGCTATTTCTGACAGAAAGAAGCATCACCAGAAGGTCCCTGCTCTGTTCCTCACTGCTGGTAGGCTGAGCAAACACTTTGTATCTCATACCTTAAAGCAACTGCTTTTCCAGAAGCCAGCTTTGGAATACAGCCTCAGAAGGCCAGATGCATGTGCCTGGATCAGAACTTTCCTGTTACATTTACTCTGCACAGGAGGTGCCACGCCAGCATTACTCGCATGCTCAGAAATCACTGCACCCACCAATAAGGCAAAATATGCCAAAAGGAAGGCAGGACCCTGCATATCTTGTGTCACACGTGGTGGTATTAAGTGGTTGCACAGTAATTGTACCAGAAATAGCCTCACAATCAGCTTTCACTCTTGCTTTAAGTAGCTTCAGGTGATTATTTTACTTACTCTAGAATAGTCCCTGGCATCTCTGCTCTGCATTAAGCACTTAAACACACGTACAATAAAATATGAGTCCCTGGAAGACTTAGAGAGATTTTCCAGGGTCATAAGCAGCAATGATGATTCTCACTGATAAATTGCCACTTATATTTCAGCTTATTAGGGATTTCTCTTTTTATTTTTTTTTCTTTTTGTTAACAAAATACTGAAGAACAAAGAATGCCAGAAAGCATAACGGTGAAAGGAGATAAGCTTTTTTTTTTTCTTTAGTGCAGCTCTACAAACATTCCGAAGATCTACAAACTGCTTATTTGTAGATGTGAGTATGCAGATAGCAGAACAGCTACCTCCTGTCTAGCCATAAGAAGCTGGCTGTGTTTTGTAGCCAGCAGGCTTATCTTCAAAGGGCTAAAAGGATCCTTGGCAAAACGGTGAGTCCAGACAGACCATGTTCCATGAATGAAACACAGCTTAGGAATAGAGTTAAGAGGATTTCTGAGAGGGAAGGGTAACCAGCTGATAATGTAACAGCTTGATAAACCACAGCAAATGAAGAAGCACCTTGAATTTGTACAAGGACTTTGGCGTCAGTTCTGTGTGACTTAGATCCAGAGGATCTGTGTGAGTTTGTTCCAGAGGAACAACTAAGGCAGATGAGAGCAGCAACAGACTGTAGAGGAAAACACCCAGGTAATAAGCAAGGAGCAGCACAGGAGACACAGTAGCAGGCTCTTTTCTAAGAGCTAGATGGAGTCAGAAGATGTGGGTGTGAAAGAAGTCAATAGCTGAGGGTGAAAAGATTTCTGCGTGGTAGGAAATTACTTGTTTTCATGATACTCTGTCTACAAGCTGAGAAGTAATCACATAAAATGTACTAATTTCAATGAGGCACAATCAGAAAAAAAATATTGGAATAACCATAGTCTAAGCTGTAAAGGGAACCTTTGTTATATAACGGTCATTCAAATTCAATTATAGTAAACCAGTGACTTGCCTGTGGGAAGTCATTGATCTCCAATTCTTCTTCATATCTCTTGAAGGATTCATTTTGTCCTCCATCCTGTTTCTCTTCCTCCTGCTTTTCTATGGGTACATAATTGAGCTTAGCATTGATTTTTTCAGCCAGCTGCTCTGCAATAGTCTTGGCAGACACAGTAGGAGCTTGAATTGTGCCTCCTCTCAGGATGGCGTTTGTAGCCTGCTGCATCACATCCTGTTTAAAAGCAAAAAGATCACATTCAGAACAAGATAGCTAGAAGAAGTCCTGTACAAGCCAGCTTTCGCAGAACGTGGGTTTCATTAAAGATCTTGACATATCTTGAATGCCACTTAACGAATTCATCTTTAAAAATTCTCTTTCTCCTCTTTCCTTCTTCTCCGTACCTCCATCACTCCTGCATACCAAAGATTTTCTTGGGCTTGCTTAAGAGCTTGCTTACTTACTTCAGAATATTCATCTCAAAATACCTTTGGGCCTTCCAGACCACATTAACCCAAGTCCAAATGGATTGGGCCTCGTATGCCTCAGCAGAAAAGGATGTCCTGCAAGGCTGCTAAGGCAGCCAATTGTAACTCACTACTCATAAAATTACACAATTAACCCTTGGTGCCAGGACACATAAGGAATTCCCAGTTTTGTATTAAGCATATTAGCATGCCAGTACAAATCCTACAATTTATCACTGAGCTAGCCCAGCACAGATGAGCTAGATAATGTGGTACATTATTACTGCAAGGAGGAGCTAAATAAAAAAGCAGCCAAGGAACTTTAAAAATATTCTATATGACATTTATTAAGAAAAATTGCTCTGTAAAGAGTCTGACCTTGAAGTGGAAAGGGACAAATACTTGTGCCTCTGCTCCAAGATTCTTCTGAGCATTGATTCTCAAAGCCAATCTTTTAGCAATTTCCAGTTTTTCTGCATTACCAGCTGATGGTGTAGGAACATTTGATGTTCCTGGCGTGCCCATGTCTTTTACTCTTTTCTTTGAATTGAACATGCTTTCAATTTGTTCATCAATCTAAAGAAAACAACAATAATTAGATCACTGCATATAGCATTAGATAATCTTATCATCCTAAAGAAAGGAAACACTAAGAGACACTTAGTTTGCAAAAAGAGCAGATGATCAAATAATCAGGAAAAGGTTTGAACAACTTAGCAAAAAGATTTAGTTCCCATTTCACAAAAAAAAAGAACAACAAAAAAAGACTGACATTGCAAAGACAAATGTTGTACCATTTTAGCTATAAAATCCCAGCAAGTCAGGAGCATTCTCTCAAGATGTTCACAGGAGAACTACATATCTTTTATGTCAAAGAATGTATGAACCTACTCACAGAATTCAACTAGTTAAGTCAGTAGCATAGGACATGGAGTAACAAAAATCCATGAATTCTGCAAAATGTTATGTAATCTACTGGAGGAAAAAAAAATGACACTGGAAATCCTTAGAGAACTTAGCTATTTTCAGATGCTTACATCAACAGCTGTATCTTCATCATCTGAATCTTGCAAGCCAAGAGCTGCTTTTTGTAGTTTCTTTCGTTCATTAGCCAAAGCCTGTTCCGTTTCATCAAATTTAAAACCTTTGCCAGAGAATCCACTGCTTTTTTTAATCAGCTTTCCCTCCTAAAAACAAAAAAGTGTATTTTTATACTTAAATACAAATTTTGCAACTCACTTCCAGTAGTCATAAAGTAACTGTGGAAACATACAAATTACTTTGAAGTTATTTATTAAGAAAAATAAATATTAGGGCATTTAGAAAGCTCTTCCAAATTTAAAAACTATTTTACAATGTAGTGCAATGCAAAAGTTACTAGATAGAAACAATAAACCGTTCGGATTTTGTGTGCTCCTCAAATACTATAGGAAAAAAATCTGTTCTTATATGTGTAAAACTTTGAGGTCAACATTTTCAGTATAAGCAAGATCCTCTGATGGAGAGAGCTGTAGAAATAACACATGAGTTCTGGGAAAGAGCTTTTATGTGAATTTTGGTAACAGCCAAAGTGCCACTTACACAGTGGGCCCTTCCCCAGCCCGTGGTACTTACAGCCTTTTGCTGGTCTTTGAAGTCAGCCCAGAGCTTCTCCAAGTCGGTAGGAATTGGATTCCCAGACAACTCCAAAGCCTTAATGATATCACCGGCATACCGTGCCTGATCCTCAGTAATGAACGTGTATGCATATCCCTAGGAGGCAAAATTCATTTTTAAAAAGGTAAAGGAAAACCTATAAAGACATTTTAACTCTACTGAAGCACTTTCGCACAGATGCTATTGTTCTGGTCAATAGATGCAGTCATGATATTCATGTATGCTTTATTATTATTTTTTTAATCTTAGCAAGAATATAGAACAAATAATATGATTTCCCAAGGAACTGATAAGGAAGTGATCAATCACAGATGGTAAAAGTCTTTCCTTTCAATCTTGTCATGGTTATAAGTTTGAAAAGTAAAATCATGCACATTAGTAGGCATATTTCCAAGAGTGAAAATACATTTTTCAGCTACAAAATGGAATTTAAAAGGACATTCATACATCAGAAGAATTTGTAAACTGCAGTTTCTCTAGTATTAAAATTCAGTCTGTATTTCACTCATGAGCTCTCTGAAAACCTTAAAGACATTCTAAAGGAAAGGCTTCTTTCCATCAATATATGAAATACTCTTCTCTATGGCTACCTCTTGTGAACACCTTATCAACAATAAACATGGCAAAATTTGCAGCAAAACACAAAACAGGCAACTGATTTTACATACTTTATTGCCAGCTCGTCCAGTTCGGCCAGCTCTGTGCACATAATCCTCATAATGGTTGGGACAGCTATAATTGACCACCAGCATCAATTGTTTTACGTCCAAGCCCCTTGCAGCTACAGATGTGGCCACCAGAAGTTTGCAAATTCCATTCTTGAAATCATTAATTATGCTGTCCCTGTCATATTGATCAATACCTGCAAGAAACCAGACAAAACAGTTGAGCTCTCCTGTTTATTCCTCTGTATTAGCTTTCTTGCACTAAATAAGTAGTTTTGTGCTTTCTTCTTACTGCATTTTCAAAAACACTATGTAATGAAATACTTTAAGATGGACAATATTTTGGAGAGATTTCCTCTTACTACTCCTTCATTAACATCACTATTTTAGAACAGTAAAACAACCGCCATTACTGTGGGATCTCAAAGTCTCATAATGCTCCCCATTAAATCTCTTCTGGGTGGTTTTGCAATAGCAAGCAGTCTAGCAAAGAGTATTGGCAGACAGGTGCCAACTCTCAGTTCCCCATGCTGGTGGACAGAGACAGGATTTGTCATCTGATGACATGAAATATATAACAGTATAGAATAATTAAGGAAAGCTCTGATGTCTATTTGAAATTACAAAGCAAAACCTGTTTGGAAGGAATACTATAGGTACTACAGTACTATAGGTACTATATAGAAATACACTCCTCTCTGTAATTAACAAATCCCAATATTCTGATTTGAAGGTAGCATTACCTCCGTGAAGAGACAAGCAGGGATAAGCAGCTCTCATTAAATCTTTTAACAGACCATCAGCATGTTCTTGTTTATCTACAAATATGATAACTGATCCTTTCTCCTGATAGAGTCCCAGCAGTTCAAGTAACTTCAAAAACTTGTTCTCCTCTTCTATGACAATCTGGAAAAAAAAAACCACAGAAAAGCAGAGCAGAGTTTAAGCTGTATCTTCAGTCATCAGAGACAATCAGGGGGCATAAAACAAATTCAAGTAGCTTTACCTGTTGATTTATGCTATAACCATGCCCTGAAAACAGTTCCTGTGCTTTGTTAGTCAAAGAGCAACAGGATACAAACTAAAAAAAAAACATGTCAATGCACAAAATGAATTCCTATTTCAACCACATATCTTTTTTTAAAGGAAAGTATAGTCTGCTGGTGTTAGATATGTGATAAGACAGCACCACAACATCATTCTGTTTGCAAATTAAAAGAACTTCATTATCTCTTGAATCTAATAAGCTAAAAGTTGTCAAAGAAACAAACTCTAGTGGCAATATACAAAGGAATTTCTGTGTTTTAAACAATATTTACTACCACTACCCATCGTATTTCAACTGCTTCCACTGGCTACCACAGCTAGTTCATAAACAGTTAGATATTAAATAGAATGACAGCTCAGAAATCTTGCTTCCTAGAAGACAGTGACTTTACTTTTCCTTTCAAACCCTTCTGCATTTTACTCAGGGATTTTTTGGTCAAGGAGTATTTCCATGCTCTTCAGCTAGTACATACATCAATTCCATTTAAAATATTGCTAAACTTTTGTAAATTCTGTTTTTTTTTATGCGACATTCCTTACAGCAAAAAATGGTACCTCCCCAATTAACACAAAAAGAAAAATAAATCTTATCAGCATAAAGGGACTTCATCTATGTGAATATTTATATGAATGTGTTAATTTTCAAAGTCAATATGTCAAACTGCTGCCAAGAAACAGAGCAAAATAAATAGAAGAAAAGTGAGCCCGTGTACAGTAAGGTCACCCAAAATCGAGCAATAAAAATGACCTGGATATGTTTATTTTTTACTTATATTCCATATTGTTGGAAATGCTCTTTTGCCTGCAAATCAGAAGACAAAAAAGCAGCTGTGTGATACTCACAACGTGTTGCTCCACATCAGAACAGACAACACTTCTACCTCCAACCTGCACTTCTATGGGTTTACTCAGGATCCTCCGAGCTAAGGCCTCCATAGCTCTGGGAAAAGTAGCAGAGAACATGACAGTCTGACGGTCAGGCCTGACGTTGTCTACAATGCGCATGACCTGGTTTGAGAGAACGTTTCCAGTTAACATCCAAGTGCTGTAATTGAACCTAACACATGTACTGAGCAGTCTTCTCTAAAGCTTGAAGTTACCTATATCACACAGAACTCTAAACATTTCTTTACAGGTTTTATCTTGGGACCCTGGTGTTCTCAGTGGAAGACAAGCAAAACATGCTGGACTGGACAGGAGCTTGAGGAGCAGCGTGAAACCCTCCAGGGGCCCAAGAGAAACTCTGAACATGCAGCAGAAGCCCCACAGCTCAGGAGAGAAAATGAGGGAATATTCACGTTTTTGCAGAACAAAACAGTCTAATGGTAAGTGAAACAACCCTAGATATCAAAAGCTGCCAGCAAATACTGTATTCATCAGCAACATTTCTATCACTTTGTTCCCGTTTCCTGCGGGACATGGCCAGGAGATTTCAGAGGCTTTTTCACCAGGCTACAACTACTTATATGACACCCAAACAGGACTAAAACATGGTAAAAAAAAAGTTCTGCAAGCGTCCAAGCTAAGCATGCTGAAGAATATACTTTTGAGCAAAGCTCTAACCAACACAAAAGTCCATCAAAATCAAAACTCACGATGCTAATACAAAGATCAAAGAGTTGGTTTAAACTGTCATTCATAAACAGAACATCTTAATGAAAAAGCAGTTGACATCTAAGGAAAAAAAATCACACAGATTCTCGCTGAATCCTCTAAGTGAGGAAATAACATCTTGCAGGAATGAAAGTCATTAATTACCTGAGGCTCAAAACCCATGTCAAACATTCTGTCTGCCTCATCAAGTACAACATAAGTGACTCGGCGGAGATTTGTCACCCGACCTGTAAAAGGAGAGGAAAAAACACATGGGAAACAAAATCAAACGGAAATCTAATTTCCCTCAGGAGTAATCTTTTAAAAATGTTATAATATTCTCACTATCTTCTAAGAAACACGTTAATTATCTTTTTTAAAAAAATTCACTGAACGTGAATTTAAATTTCTCGTTTTAATCGCATCTACATTCTGGGAAACGTGTAAGTATGCATAAGGCCCTTTATTTTGTCAAACTCTTCTCTTGCATACCATCATAGGGCCAGAAGAACCTGTAAAATTCAGAAAACAGCCCTCGCCAAAACACATCATAAAACTAAGACTGAGATGAAGCAAGGAGCCACATCAGCCATTATCTGACAGCGCCACCTAGAAAAAAACATATTAGAGATTACAGCGCATGTGTGGAAGGCAAAGTCCAGTGCTAACTGTTGCAGCCTCAGAAAAATTCCTTTTATACATTTTATTGCTTCCTCGGAGCTAGAAATAACTATTTGAGGATAATCAAGCTAGTTCTAGTTAACTGCTAACGCTATGCATCATAGAGAATAAGCAGTTTTCTTTCAACATGGGTATCTACAGATTGAAAGCTACCCAGCCAAGCTACTAAGTTTAAAAATAAGAACCACCCCAAATTGTGGGACAGCTGGAAGCAAAATAAGCAAGTTGTGTATCTGTTAACATCCTGAAATGACCATGGGTGAGATAGTTAACACCCTTCCCAGACAAGGAGCTAGAAGAGGTTCCCATTCATGAGAAGCATTTAACTCAAAGATTAAAGAATCACTTTCTCAAAAAAAAAAAAAAGAACACATGAACACTTCCAATTTCAAGTGCAACAACGTTGTTGAGTGCTCTCAGAATGGAAGCAGAATTTCCACATTTTCTACACCATCACTCAAGACTTATCAAGCTAAGCAGAATTTGGTATTTGCTACTTCAGCAAATTGTAGCTGAGTCCTCAAATTACTTTTCAGAGATTTGGTGCTGCATTATTTTAAGATACTGAATTCACAGTTAAGTAAGAAAATAAGTATTTCTTAAATATGCCTTAAAAACCTATATATCTATTTAACATATTAACATCTTCATCCCCAAATAATAACTTCCTAAAATTACTTGGGAACAGCATTAATGTACCTACCTTTGACGATTTAAGTCTTGGAAGCCCAGTTCTATATGTCTTGAAGGTACTTTTTTCACAGAAGTTAAATAATGTCAACAGTTTAGTAGAGGTTTTGATGTGGAATAATTTAATAATAAAACTTTATCTAATAAGCATGCAATGGTTACACTAGGACAAAACCTCTTAAAGCTGCAGTGTCTCAGTTTAATCAACTTGAGTATTCGATGTAAGGGTAGTTCTTTCACATTTACACTCTCATTTAGGGAGGGCTGGGTTTTTTTTATTATTTTTAATCAACACATGAAGACAGAGTCAGACACTGAGTAAAAACGGGTAACTGCTGAGTTGCACTAACGATAATGAAAGATCAATGAGCAGTCCAAATAGGCAACTGCTATTGAAATTGATCTTTGTCTAAATAACCTGAAGTTAAAAAAAAGTAGCAGCACGTTTTAAGTCGTAAACACTCTCAGAAACTCTTCAAGAATTTAAAAATTCCTGTCTCCCCCCAACAAAATCAAACCAAGAAACAACTAAAGCTATTATTAGTGCTAAATATTCTTGACAGTTAAATAGTGCAGCCTGAAGAGATATAAGAAAATTCCATAAGACCATTTATCAAAATACATGATCTTTTGAATTTGTTAGAATTACACAACAAATATGTAAGTTCTCCATAGGAGAAGGTTTTCTACTCACCATTGTTAGCTGCTAACATGTCAATCATACGTCCAGGTGTACAAACAATAATTTCAGCACCTCTTTTGAGTTCAGCTATCTGATTTTAAAACACAGTAAACTTAATTTAACAAAACATTAAAAGTATTTTTATTTAACACAAGATGTGTGACCTTATAATGAATAAATCAACCTGCAATATCTTTGTCACTTTAATACAGCTGTTCTACTACTGCAAATGGCTCTTTTAAAGATTCGCTGTACTGATTTCTTTGGAAAACTTTGCTATCTAAAAGGGTGACCTCTGACAACCTAGAGTCAGTCCCATTAGAAGTACATTCTTAATGAGGATGTGACTTCTGTACAGTTAAGGACCTATAAGAAAGCCTGCATATTACATTAGGGACAACTGATGTGCTCACTACTGTTAATAAACTATGTTCCATCATACATGGTGACCGAACTTTGAAAATCTTCTCTGTAGTTTCCACAAATGGACGGGAAGAAAATATCCACCCAAATTGATCTCCAGATTAGGCTAACAACTATCATCTGATAAGGCAACAAAACAAGGTTAAGAGTTTCTGCCCAACCATCCCCAATATCTGAACTTGTTTTTTTCCTTGGGAATACAATTCTTGTGAAAAGAAATCTCCTCAATTATTTTCATACTGTCACATCACACAAATGGCTTAATTACTGCCAAGCTCAACACATAGATACGAACAAACAACCTCAGACTTTCAAGGACCAGACTTCAAGAATCTTCAAGACCACCATGAAAGCACTCTGCGTTCCTGTTCCCTGAAAGCATTTTATCCTGGCAGTTTGGACACGGAAAAGTAATTGCCAGGCACACACAGCAAGAGGGCTCTATGACAACCCCGAGCACTGTTCTACGTTCCAAATCAGTGCTGATTAGCCATGCCAAACAAATAAATGCTGTACACTCTACAGGCTGGAGGGAGATTCTCTACTTTTTAAGATCTAAATTAAGTGGAAATGCTGAAGTTTTTTGCACTACTATTCACACAGAGAAAATCCAGAACAAAAGTTGCAAACAAGGATTGCGTTTATGGGAAAGAGAAACGAACTATTCACTGTAAGAACTATATTCACCGAGAAAGTAACATTAAACAAAAACAGATGAGAAAGACTTGACAAATAAGTTATTTCATTTGTTTACCTGTTCACTGATTCCTGTTCCTCCATACACACAGACAACTCGAAGCCCAAGTGTCTTTGAGAATTTCTTACACTCCTTGGTAATCTGCAAAGCCAACTCTCGAGTAGGTGTCATAATGACCGCTGTAAAAAAAGGAATTTTTGTCATCCACCGTAAGATATGCTGTTACTTACATGATAAAATATAACCTCTTGTAATGAAGTTTAAAGCATTTCTGTTAAGTCTTGTGCAATTACTATACAATTTATTTGTGTGTGTTTTTAAAAAACACAATTTCAGGAGAGCTAAGACTGTACAGAGACAGGGTGGAAACCTGGTCAAAGTTTCGAAAAATCAAGAAGTAAAATCCCCCTTTTAGATATATGGGTTATGTAGGTGCCCTTAAAAGTCCTGTGATCACAGAAATTTTGGTAACTGATTTTTTTTTTAATGCTACTCAAACTAACAGATATAAACTTAAGTAAATATAAACTTAAGTGAATGTGCCTCTAACACCATCAAAAGAACTAAAGACCCTTCTAAAGGGTATACATGACTTTATTTAAATCACAGTTCTGAAAACAAAAGCTTTTTACCTATAGGACCTTCTCCTTCTTCTAACGCCCTCTGATCCATAATGTGTCTAAACATGGGCAAAAGAAAGGCAATAGTTTTTCCACTTCCCGTTTTAGCAATGCCAATCAAGTCACGTCCATTCATGATTGCTGGGATAGCCTGGGTTTGAATGGGAGTGGGCTTTTCATAGCCATGTCTTAAAGAATGGAAAAGAAAAAGATATTAGAAGAACAAATTTTTGTTT